CTTACTTATTTTGATGGAGTTTTTTTTAAAAACACGTACAATTATTTTTCCTTGCAATGAGTGAGGCTTCCTCCTTTCAGGAGAAAAGGGAGAGCAGGTGTGGCGGGGGACGGTGTCCTAGCGGGCGCTTACCCTGCCAAGACCGGGCAGAGCTTGTGTCTGGGCTCGGGCGGGCCTGCTGTGTGTTTTGGGGTGCCCAGTCCATGCTGGCCTCTGGGCTCCCCCATGCTGAGTGGGTGGGCTGGGCCTGCCTGGCTTCCAGAGCATCCAGAGTTGGATTTCGGTCTTTCTGGGTCTTTCTCTGCGTCGGAGTCAGCGGTGACGTGGCGGGTCCCACAGCTCTTGAGCTGGAAGGTCATCAGCGACTCACTTCACTTCCTGAGCCTCGGCCTCTCATGCTCGGCCCGCCCTGCCTTCTCTGAGCGAGGCTGAGCTGACAGCCGTGCTCATTCCGCTGTGTAGAGGCTCGCGGCAGCCTCGCCAGCCACCTGGGAAAATACATGCAGAACTTTGCTCGCACCTCAGCTCAGCAAGCAAGCGCAAGCAGAGCCTCTTGGGGCTTTCAAGGCCCACTGACCTGGAGCTCCTTGAACTTGACCTTGAGCCCTTGCAGTTGGTGCCTGCTGTGGCTGCAAGAGGATCCTGCTTGCCCAGGCCCCTGGGAAAGCCTCACCCTCAGTGAGGTCTGCAGCGATGTTCCAGGGCCAGGGTCTCCCCAAATCAGGAGTGGCTGGCATTTGGGACCCCAGGGACAGAGCGTGTCATTCCCGACATCAAGTTCTATGCAGGACTTGCCCACTCGGTTTCTGGACTGGCGAGGATATGAGTGGCGTGCCCTCTGGCCAGACGCCAGGTCAGGGGCTGGCGAGGCTTCTCCAGGGTGAGTGCTGAGAATCGGGGCACCTCCTGCCGGGGGGGTGCGTGTGAGGTTTCGCTGCCCCTCCTCCCAGCTCGCCTCAGCGGCTGGGCTCCCCCCAGGCAGGATGGGCTCTGCCCAGTCTTGCCACCTCAGTCTTGCCCGGTGCAAGGGGTTGCGGGTTGTTTTCGCTTCCTTCGTCTTTCTCTTCTCCGCCTCCCCCTTCAGTTCAGTGCTGTCCTCTCCACTGTCCCCTCCGGTCTGGGCTCGCGTCGGCCTCTGATGACAAGTTCTCATTTCGTGGAGCACGGGTGTGTGCTGTGCTGGGGGCCTGCAGAGGGCCTCTTCTTGGTCTGTGGAGAGCCGGGGGCAGGGGCGATGTCCCCACTTTCCCGGGGCCGAGGGATGCTCAGGGCGCCACCACGCCATGGGCGCAGGGCAGGATCGGGATTCTGAAGCAGAACCAGTAACAGACATCCAGGCTTGTCTGAGCAAAAGTGAGATGGTTCGTTCTTTCTGCTCCGCCACACCCTCTCCCCTGGTGCCCGGGGAGGGCTCCTGTCGGCTCCACTGCAGGCTGCTGTGCACTCAGGGGGGCCCCAGAGGAGTGCCGGTGCCCCCAGACAGCCAGTGTCGTCAGCCTTTGGCCTGGGGTCTTCCCTCTGGGTAGCCGGAGACCTACCGAGTGCTGTCGGCCTTCAGAGAAGCGGGGGTCTCGTCTGAGCTGTTTCGCCCCCTCCAGCAGCCGTCTCTCTCTTCGCCCCCTCTCGTTCCTGTTTATTTGAGCACACAGAACTGGGTGCAGGCCAGAGGAGCAGGGGCGGTGAGAGGATTCACCAGAGTCGGCATGGGGAGCAGAACAGGCCGACTGATGAAGTCCACTGCGAGGGGAGCAGCGGGC